CCACTAAAATAAAATTATTCCTGTAACATAAGTTTCATTAAATAATACTGCCACACCACTGAGAGGCACTCACATCTATGGGCATAAGGGAGTTTTACAGATGCTGCTTGGAAAGATGACAAATGAAGAGCCTGAGATTGAAGGGAAAAATCCCCAATAATATTTACATTGAAAGACCAAGTTTCCATAAAAAAATAAAATAATGGGTCTGTGTCTGAGTTTAAACTATTTACTGTTATTTTACATTCTAAAGTGCATACAGGTTGATATTTTAAAAATATCACTAGAGAATTTAATAAAACACAGCAGACATTTTTCTGCTTTTTGGCAAAAGTTGGGAATGAAGGGAACAGTTGTCTGAATGTAAGTTAAAAGTTTAAATCCAACTCAGGAGGGAAAAATGCTTATGAGTTGTGCAGTTACAGGTGGTAATGATTACTCCAAACTAAGACAAAGATGATTTCCTATCTGATTTTGGTTAAATAAGAGCTATTTAAAATGGGAGTGAAAAACCAAGATTTCTGTTACTTAGTAGAGAAACCAACTTTACCTTTACTTGAAAAGAAAATGGTCAAGGCTCAAATACTACTTTGCTTTAATTTGAACATTTGAAATTTCCCTTTACTTTCAGGAAAGAAAAATTTGACTATTCTTATACTTAGGTGACACAGCCTTTATAAACACTTCTCCTTGAGAGCAGATCAGGCAAACGAGGGCGAGTCTCAGCACCACGATGGAAAACCATTGGTTAGTCTTGTCGCCCAGAGGGACGTGTTTGTTAATACTTGGAGTGCAAGGTTGGCCATAGGTTACTTGTGCTTTTTTTGGGGGGGTGCAGGTAGGACTGAAGAAAGAATGGCCACAGAAAATACTCCAAGTTGTGCCTTTTCCCTAACAAAACTGAGGTTCCTCCCTGGGGTCAGTTACAAGTATAAAAACACTTATGGTGCTGCCTCCAGTATAGAACCTTTAAGGTTTAGCTAATATAGCAGCTTAGCAGGAAGGTTTATTATTAAATACATTTTCAGATGCTGCTAAAAGTTAGTCATCTCTTCTCAAGTATGACTTGACCTATAGGGATGTGTTTCCCTGTGCCTTATACAAGCATCTACTAGAATACTAATAACTAATAGAGGGTGACAGTGTCACCAGTGTCCTATAATGGCTAACAGGAATAGGATTCATGTTTGGTGAACAGGAGAGAAAATACAGACTTCAAGAGACATCCTTACCAAAACTAGAGCTCAATCAGGAATAGAACCTTCACCAGAAATCCAATCAAAGCATGTCTTTACATAACGTATTCTTCATAGGAACACTGAAAAATTGGCAAGAATGTTCTGGACTTTTCATGGTTAAGAGCAATACAGTCTTGAAGCTTAGGGAAAAGTTCATCCTGCTCAGTGATCCAGTAGTCTGAGGACAGCAGCCTCCTTTTCCTGCACGCAAGACATTGAGGGACATGTAGTTCCTTCTTCCTTTGTTCTTTTGAGGGATGTTGTTGATTCTCTCACAGTATTTCAATGTCCCATTTCTGTGTTTCTTCTCCCT